GGCTGCGGTGGCCGGGAGCAGCCACTGCACTCCAGTCTGGGCGACAGAGTGAGACTCCAACTCAAAAAAATAAAAATAAAAATCCCAATCAGCATGTGCCTACCATTTTAAATGTGCCCCCCCTCCCATGTCTGTTTTAAACGTGTCCCTCAACCAGGCACTGTCCACACTGCTACATGCTAGTCATTTGGAATGCATGTCCAACATTCCATCCTGTACCCTACCATTCACTAATTACATTTTCAGTCATTTCCATTTGGTTACTGCAGCAATGATCAGCTTAACAGTTTCCCTACTCTTCAATTATCTAAATGTCCAGAAATGGAACTTGTAGATGAAAGGTCAGAGTATTTCTATGGATCTAAAAAACACTACCAAGCTGCTCTTACAGAATATGGAAGCAGCAGCAACATTTGCACTACAACTGGTTAATCTTGTTGGCTACACAACAGGTAGTTAAGTTGTATCTATCTTTCACAGTTCAGCTGCCCAGCTGCTTACTGCAGGTTGGCCCCTAAACATTAATTCCTATGCTAGTCCTTTCTGAAAGAAATTTTCAGCATTTCAATACCTGGTTAAATTTTTAACCTTGAAAGGTAGTCAAGTCAGAATACTGGTCTTATTCATTTTTGTTATTTGTGTCTATAACTACTGTACATAGAAGCTCTTTATAAACATGCACAAATATTACTAGTCACACTCTACATATTCATTCTAATTTACTTAGGAAAATTCAGCTTTTTGGCTTCAGTTTACCAGGAAGTAAAAACAAACTGCCCTATTTAATAAAAAAAAAAAAAAAAAAAATCCCTCCAATTCAGACTCAGAAGGTCTACATCACTTCCCATGAGAAATCTTTTCCCATTCCACTCTCTAGTCCTGGCCTAAGCATATCACTGAGTCTCTGAGCACAGAGCTCACCAAGTGTCTAACTTACTCAAAACACCCAGAACACCCTGCCATTAATCCTCCCTACGTGCTTCCACCTCTGCACCTGTGTGAGCACTCTCTACCTGCAGTCTTCTTCCTTTTCTCCCCATCAATTCACACCTAGCTTTATTTTATTTTATTTTATTTTATTTTATTTTTAGTTGGAGTCTCACCCTGTTGCCCAGACTGGAGTGCAGTGGCCACTCGTGGCCACTGCAGCCTCGACCTGCCGGGCTCCGGTGATCCTTCCGCCTCAGCCTTCCTAGTA